TTGCCCAAAGATGTGTGAACAACATCAATCGATGTATCCTACCTTGATTACAACCACTTCTATACATGGCGTGGCCTTGTGAACGAACTATTAGAATACTCCATTTGTATTGGTCCTTAATTTAAAGGGGTTCATTTATGGAGTTCTTCTGTATACGATCAAAAGCCATCCAACCTAAAGTGAAGAATGGGACACAGAATGAGCGCTATATACGTTTATTCATCATTTTGGTCCGTATGAAGTATCCCTGACATTCATACATTGCCCATCAAGACAGTGTGGCTTTGATATGTAGAAATATTAAAGTCTGTAGCAGCACCCTTATTAGAATTCTGAAAATAGCAGAAATACAGATATTGAGTACATCGTGGAAATGAGTATGATAATGATATAACTGTTCAACAACAGGGTAACAATTAGAAACATTGCGGTCTTTCGATTCCATCCATTGTCTTTTTTGTTTGGTGTTATCATGGCACAAGTATATCTAAAAGTCGCAAAAAAAAACTCATTTTAAGGCATGACAGAAATACAAAAATGTAACACAGCTCCGTATACATAAATAATGACATTACTTATTCCCTCCCACAAAATAACACAACATATATATATGTATATACTTGTTCAGCTCATAGACTGTTCACTGGAAAAACTAACGATTAGTTGTAACAGTTACGGTTAAAACACTGGATAATAATTGCACTCGCCGCTTTAGTATCTCATTCATCTTCACAAATTTTCTGTAATAATACTGTCCCTGTTGGTTTTGATACTGTACGTTACAAACCTGCATCGCCTATATTGCATAGTAATATAGGTGATGAACAGTTAAAACAAACGAAAAAGTTACAGATGCTCACTAAGTTGATACACGTCTTTTCTCTGGACTATTTATTAAAATATATAAACCCTTGGTGACTGATATACAAACTGACGACAATACTTGTCCCACAACATACTAGTAATCTACAACTTCGTATCCTCTTCTTCGTCTGCTTTCTTCTACATCCGGTAGGGGGTTGTTTGTGAGGTATTTGTTGACGTCACTTCCGGCGGCCGCCATCATGGCACTGAAGCGTGAGTTGGGGTCGGACATGAGAACCGCTGGGGGGTCAAATTCCACCAGCTGGAACAGACGTGTGGAGAGATGTCAACATCGGCAACTTCTACTACCCCGCCTCTGCCAAACACTCTCATTCACACTCACTCACTCACTCACTCACTCACTCACTCACTCACTCACTCACTCACTCACTCACTCACTCACTCACTCACTCACTCACTCACTCACTCACTCACTCACACACACACACACACACACACACACACACACACACAAGTGAGCGCACATGTATACACACACACAGGCACACACATTAGTACATACACACACAAACATACACGTGCACACACAGGCACACAGGCACACACACACACACACACACACACACACACACACACATACACATGTACGCACGCACACATACACAGAGAGAGAGAGAGAGAGACATACACACACATATGCATGCACACTCATACGTAACATACATGCACATACAAACACACATATAAGCACGCACACACACATACAAAGGCACACGCGCACAAATAGACGCACACCTATACACACTCTCCACACACGTCCGGCTCTTACTCTTCTTTAACTTACGCAGAGAGTTTCCCCCACAAGTACATGTACCTACAGCATACCTTTCCATCCTCCATGACCATAATACGGTCGCTGTTCAGCACAGTGTTGAGTCGATGAGCTATGGTCAACATGGTGCAGTCTGTGAAGGCCTCGTGGATGGTCTTCTGTATCAGGCTGTCTGTCTCCGAGTCGATGGCCGCTGTTGCCTCGTCAAGCAGACATTGGAGGGTAAAGTCAATTAAAGCCCAACTTTCGTCTTAAGACATTACGTAGAAGCACGTTAACGGAAACTCTTACCTAAATCTTCATCATCAATGCAGGGAAACATTCACAAGTAACAGGTGACCTGTAGTCAAAACTGCTGACGTTTGTAACGTCCCACGTCTCTGCTAAATGAAGTGTAGATGGTGATCCTGACACCCACTCAACGCAAAGAAAGCCATGCAAAACATTACGTAAATGCAGGTGGTAAAACTTATACTGACCAAGTGTATATGATCACGCGTGGGCCCTGGTAACGACTATTTCGGAATTGTAGAAAGAAAATACTGAAGCCTCACTTACTGACTTAATTACTATATTCAACACCAGGCCGACTCGTGGTTGGCCAATGACCTTGCTGTTCCTGAGCAAGGCCCTGGCCATACAGATAAGCTGCCGTTCACCCACTGAGAAGTTTTTACCGTTTTCTACCACAGGAGCTTCTAACTGTTTCTCTAGCCCCGATATCTGTGAGGAGGAACAGTAATGCGTCTTTAAGGAAACGAAATCAATTAAAAAGGATCGACTCAATCAAATCATTAAATTTGGAAATCAAATTAATCAATGACTGAATTGTTTATTACCGCATCCTTCATGTAGGTCCTCTCTAGTGCACGCCATAGCTCTGGATCATGGTACTGATTGAACGGGTCCAGATTATACCTGATTTTGGACAAGGCACGCAATCAGTCAGACAATCATAGAACTGAATCATAGAACTAGAAAAAATGATTTAGTGTCATTCTTTTCATATTTAGCGATATCTATAAAATTTTGCATAATTTCTTTTGTAGTTAAAACTATACTACATAAAATGCATAACCGTTCTGATTTTGTAAAAGTGAAAATCCCAAGAATTGGGAATTGTTTCTTCGAAGTTTGGGTAGTTCCATTTCTTAAAGAGAGTGGGGTTCCACTACGTACCTGACAGTTCCTACAAATAAGACCGGATCCTGTGGGATTATGGAGAGTTTGCTGCGGAGGGACTGGAGACCGATCTTGCTGATGTCCACCCCGTCGATCAGGATGGTCCCGTCCGTCGGCTCCACCAATCGGAACAGAACAACGCCCAGTGACGACTTGCCTAATGATATCAAGTTACATCAAAGAGAAACTGAGTACAAAAATGTTTTCGTTCTTCTGCTGTGCACATGGTTAATTGTTCGTCATACATATCATATCATATCGTATCGTATCATATCATATAACTATCGACCACTAGTATATAATGGGAGTCATTGGAAAAAGTTTATGGAAAAAACAAAAACACGGAAAAGCGGAAGTGTTCCCTTACCCGATCCCGTTCTACCCACAATTCTCACCGACTCTCTGGGCCGGATGTTGCACTGAACGTCCTTCAGCACCAAGGGCAGGCTCTCCCTATAGCGCATCTGGTACCGGTCAAACTGCACAACGCCCTGGTCAGGCCAGTTTTCAGCCGGGTCCGACTCTTTTATATGCTCTGGGACTTCCTGTTCCAGATTCTGTGAGGGAAAAGTCCAGGTATTATGCAATGACTTGACAGGAATGTGGTTAAATGTGGTTGTTAACGTACGACATATCATCATCAAACAAACGAAATCAACATTTGCCGATACATTTGCAACAGAGACGGCACAGTCATTACTATACTGTGCATCAATGCACGTTTTGTCACTTTGTTTTCAGTGTTTCTTTGGTGGGAGTCAGACTAGAATGTTGAAGTACGTACGTCGGCATAGTGTGTTATCCTCTCCACACACGTGAACCTGGACTCCGTCTCTGACGCCATCCGGACGGTCAACTGTAGCAGGCCTGACGTCTGGCGGAACACGCGGGAAATACAGTTCTTATCGTTAGTCATGTGATTTACAGTACTACCACTACTACTTCTAACACTACTACATGTACATGTGCTCGCACCGCCGCTACCACCACCACCACAACTACTACTACTACAACTACTGCTGCTGCTGCTCCACTACGTATAGTACTAAATACTACAACCAGTACTGGTAATAACTATTACTACTACATTGTGCACTAATATAAAATATCTACCGTTGATACTACAATTACTACAAACAAGTACCATGTATAGTATTAAATTCTACAACCAGGACTGCTAACTACTTTTAAATTAGTATTACTACTACCACATTGTGCACTTAAACATATCGTTGATACTACAGTTACTACAAACAAGTACTACGTATAGCACTAAATGGACTATAAAGCACTACAACAAGCAGCACTACTACAGTTACCGTTCCTTACTAGTGGCACTGTTGCCGCTCACCTGAATGGCATACGACAGCGCCAGCCCGTCCCAGGACGGCGGGATCTGTCCCTGGAACACCACCACCATGAGCGCGGCCAGCACGTTGATGGAGAGGGACACGGTGTCGAGGCGGACCGCCAGCCAGCGGGTGCTGAAGTGGTACATCAGGAAGGCGGCGTTGTTTTTGTCCATGAGCGTGGTGAACGTGGCCATGACGTCGCTGTTCTTGTGATAGGCGTGGATGGTGCTGAGGCCCTGGATGGAGGCTGTGACGTGGGAGAACCAGGGGGACCTCCGAACGTTGTCGAATCTTTGGGGGAAAAAAGACGGGGTTGGTATGGGATAACAACTGTGATAAGTTAATACGCCATTGTTTACACTCGATCGCAAACTGATGATTTCTTACCGCTCACGTTTAAAATCTCGCGGACTCGCGCCAGATTGTGCTCTCGCGAGAGCGGATTTCAAAATGGCGCCGGTATTTGGAAAGTTTGGAAAGGAGTCCATTCATGCATACAAACATTCATACAAACACCTCTTCACCGAACAGCTCTGGTATGCATCCGTTTGGCTAAATGATGCAGTAGCATATTGGTGACTGTTGAACATGTTTTGATGATACCTGTTAACAATTGTTTATGTAAATCCATCAACCAACCAATCAATCAATCAATCAATTAATCAACATCTCACCTTTTCAGTTCCCTGATGATGTGTCTGAAGAAGATGTTGACCAGGGCAAACATGATGCCGAGAGGCACCAGCGCTATGAGGAACCACGGGAACACGATACAGACGTTCAGAATGGAGGCTAACACGACCCAGATGTTATCCAGGAACAACTGCATGGTCAGGGGCAGGCGGACGTCAACTGTTGGGAACAGAACAAAACATCTCTTAGAAATGACATTCTATCATGGTTACAGATTGAAGTAATACGATAAATAGCTTTAATTTCTTAACCACAACTGCAGATCTCTATGTTTGATAACGATTTATTTATGTTTACCGAAGGAAAACATGTTGTCTGTGCTCTGTTTCTTCTTCCGTTCCAAACACTGACCTCTGACCTGGTTAATGACCTGGACCAGACCGTCTGTCACTATGGTAACTGGTGTTAGGTTATATCATGTTGTATTTTTTACAGTAGGGGGGGTAGACTCCTGTCCAACCATATGAATGTGTTTGAGTAAGAATAAACCTAGGGCAGTTAATGGCGGACAGAGCGGCATGGCGAGAAAGAGTGGACTTGGTCCGGGTAATTCGCCCGACCTGATGATGAAGAATAAACAGAGCAGACCATATGCGAAGGTAGACATTATGCATTGCAAATGTTACCTTTCTAGTTTTGTTTTTTATCTGCACAGAAACAATTGCAATGTGGCGATTTCCATATGGGGTCATGAAGAAGGCAGTGACGTCACTTACTCTCGTCCAAATCTCGCGAGAACCTGTTCAGGATCCTTCCAGTGGGAGTGACGTCAAAGATCTTCATGGGACAACGGAATATCTGTTCACGAACGGAAAGACGCTAAATTAGTAAAAAAAATACAACTTTTAAATCCACCTTTGACATCCTAAACCCATATACGAACCAAAACTACATGGATATTATATCTCAATTGCTCATCTGTGTAGTTTGCTTTTGTAGTTACACATGATTACGAATGCAGTTTAGACATGCAAGAACAGTTGATTGACATATATAGACATGAAATGACCAATTTTCGTAAATTGACCTACCGAGGCAAAGACTGAGTCGTGCATCGACGAAGAAGCTCCGAGTGTCCCCTTAGAAAGAAAAAGCCAAACATCATTTAACATCTTCCATAAAAAAAATCAGCTAGCCATAACTGTGTTAACTATCAGTACATGTAATCCTTAGACGTAGGATTGTGTTTCTCTATACAGGTCTTTAATATTTCCTGAGAGGGGTGAAAGAGACTATTTACATCAGGGCCCATCACCCTTCACTTAACAGCGACGGGGGCCGACATCGTCTACCAGATACATTTGACCCAGTGTTGACGTCACACATCAAAGAAGCACGTGAGAAGTCTCACTGGGTCAGTCTACTGAGGAAGACTAGAGTGACTGGTGGAAAGCTCTAGGTGAGAGAACTTCTTTGTGTTGGATCAAAGGTTTTAATTACTTTAAACAAGTCCTTACCTTGACGTAGAAGAAGCCCTTGATGACTGCAGTAAACAGCAATGCCACCAGATTCATGCCATAGATCAGGATGTAGAAGTTCAACTTCGGGTTACTGGTGATGTTGACTGTGCTCGGGTCCGATTGGTTGTATGGCACCTACAGCAAAGAAACAAGGAAGGCAATTGGTTGAGGTTCCAGATAGGAACGGGGGACAACATCGATTTCCGGATGTCTGCAAAAAAGTAACCGTTGCCTAGTGTCGTGTTTCCATAGCGTCATATGACCGAATTCAGTCGGTCATTCATCTTGAAATGGTTAACGTTGGTGACTATGCACGTTACTGTAGGAGGACCAAACATTTAAACTTAGAACAAGAGATACATTACAGAATATATTGTATTTTAATGAAGTAATCCAATGTACACACCCCGCTTCCTTGGTTGACCCAGTAGCTGAGCCACCAGTTACTGAAGACCATGAAGACCTTGAAGTTCAGGATGAAGAGAAGCATCGTGAAGCAACAGGCGATTATACCTGCAGAACACAGTGATCGGTAACATTATTATTAAAGACAACATCCGAAGGATCGTAGGTGATATTTGAAAATGTACATCAAAACTATGTGGTACTTGCGGTAACTTTTAAGTATTATGTTGTTGCTAATTTTTTTTGTCTGTTACCTGACGATCACCCCTATTGATGCTGTGTAATACTACCGTTTAGATTTTCTACCAGCTTCTTGTAAAGGAAAAACGAGCGTTAATAGCAACGTCTAGAAAAAGAATATGGCTTACCTCTACCGGCCCTGACATAGGACCAGTACGTCCCCCAGGCCACCGTGCCTTTGTACTTCTCCTCTTTCGTTACTAGCCCTGGTGGCAAGAAATAAAGACAACAGTTAACACATTTAAATGTTCCAGCAAATCATATCTATCTGTACGTTACATACGTGCAGACATACAAAGTTATCATATAGAAATCATAACTATATCCCAAGAAGTGTTTCTTTGGAGTTACATTTGGTGATGCTTTCATTTTGACGCAATTAAAGGACAAGGACTAATCATAGGAAAGAATATTCTTCCCTATGATTAGTCCTTGTCCTTTTCTCATGAAATATTGAGATGGAAGTTTGGATTACTTTGGGGGTCTCCCTCTTCTTTCTTTCCCTCTGGTTCCGGGTCGAAGTCTTCCCTCTCGGGCGGTTCCTCGATGTGCCCGGCCGTCTCGCTCGCCGTGCTGTGTACGGAGCGGATACTGTAGGACCGATTCAGGTTCACCGAACCACGGACGGAGTCCTGCCGCTGGAACGACCTGGAAAAAAAATGTATGAAACAAGTTTGAACTGCAATATCCAGCGCAAGACATTGGACTCACACAAAGTTTCGAAAAACGTTTTTTGCACGAGGGATCAAAGAGGCCTAGCCTGGGTACCATCCTGGTTAGTTTACGTCCGCTCCCACAGTCGCTACCCCAAAATCTAATCATTTCTAGGTCTCATGAAGACCTACCTACCTACCAAGTTTCATTCCAATCCATCCACTGCTTCTCGAGTTATCTTGCTAAACCACACACAAACAAGAGTTCCACGATCTCATACCTTCGCCAAATGATGTTAACTCTTGCGGTTGACGAAGTATACAATTTCAATCATTGATTTTGTAAATAAGCACCTCATTTGCATGGATTATATCAGTTGATCATATTCTCCACCCAATGACAGCCTTATCTTAAAAAAAAGGCTATTATAGCACTTCCTCATAAATTATGCAAATGAGGTCATGATTTGAATAAATTATGTTTATTGATGTTCACCTTCCAAATGTGGCAAGTATGAAATTCCCAGCAGTTACAGCTAAAGAATTATAAAAATTTGCCATTAATTAGGCAAATTAGGTCCTCATTTACATAATCTATATCCTCAGATATTTTTTCTCGTTCTCAAGTAGATGTCAGAAGTGTTTCATAGTTCTATTATCGAACAAAGCAGATTTCTAGAATTTCCTCATTAATTATGCAAATTAGCTCCTGATTTGCATAATTGTCATCTGATTATGACAAGCATCACTTCAACTACTTACATACCAAGAATCACGACAATCCGTCGACCGGTTCTTGAGTTATCCTCCCTCGAAAATTTTTCAACAAATGCTCCTGCAGTTCCAGAACAAGCTGCTAGGGGACCCAAGCTCATGTCACTTCTTCCCTATCCCAAGAGCTATCTGCCATCCAAAAGTCGTGACCCTAGCATGTCCAGATCACGAGATATCAAAACCGGAAGTTCTACTGCAGTACCTAGGAAAGCCGCCAGGGGGCCCGAAATCTAATCATTTCTAGGTCTCATGAAGACCTACCCACCTACCAAGTTTCATTCCAATCCATCCACTGCTTCTCAAGTTATCTTGCTAAACCATACACACACAAACACACACACACACACACACACACACACACACACACACACAACAACGCTGCTGAAAACATAACCTTACTTGGCGAAGGTAACAAACACACACACACACACACACACACACACACACACACACACACAGACAGACAAACGCTACTGAAAACATAACCTTCTTGGCGAAGGTAAAAAAGAAACCGGTAAGAAATGAAAATGAAGAGTCTGTTATTCTCCATACTATGTTTACCGGTAGTCCTTTTTTCAAACTTCATGACAACATACATTTCACCAAGAAGGCAACCCCCAAAACTGTTTTTATTTGCACGCTCGCATCACCTTTTGTGTTTTTCAGAGGATGCCATCTATACAATCAACTTGGAATAATGCTGGGCAAGGATTTGTCCTTGTAAAGTTGCAATAAGCGTAGCAGTTTGTTGGCCTAATACTTTAGCTGTGTTAATAGCCCAGGTTTCGAGGCCTACTCAATAAAGAATCATACCAACGAACTTCTGTTACTTGTAAGTGGCTTTCAAAATTGCATCAAAGTGCCTTGTAGTTGTTATTACCTTCGCCAAGAAGGTTATGTTTTCAGTAGCGTTTGTCTGTGTGTTTGTGTATGTGTGGTTTAGCAAGATAACTCGAGAAGACGTGGATGGATTGGAATGAAACTTGATAGGTGGGTAGGTCTTCATGAGACCTAGAAATGATTAGATTTTGGGCCCCATGGCGGCTTTCCTAGGTACTGCAGCAGAACTTCTGGTTTTGATATCTCGTGATCTGAACATGCTTCTTACCGTCTTACCGGTCCCTTGACCGGGGGTGGTCGTGGGGGCACCTAGTGGCTGAGCACACTGCCTTCCTCCATCCCTCCCTGTCATGAGCCAGCGCTTGGGCGCTGGCAAGGGGCAAGCCGGTCCACTCCTTGACGTTGTCGTCCCATTTCTTCCTCTGTCTCCCTCTCTTTCTCTTCCCTGGTACTGTTCCTTGTAGGATAACTTTGGATAGGCCTTTACTTCTCGTCACATGACCGTACCATTTTAACTTTCTTCTCTTAATAATGCTAAGGAGATCTTCAAGGTGTTTTCTTCCGGTAGCTTGTTTAATGATGTTCCTGACTTCTGTGTTTGTAACGTGGTCCTTGTACGTTACATTTAAGAGTATTCTGTAACACCTCATCTCCACTGCCACTATCCTCCTGAACATGCTAGGGTCACGAATTTTGGCTGGTACATAGCTCTTGAGGTAGGGAAGAAGTGACATGAGTTTGGGTCCCCTAGCGGCTTGTTCTGGAACTGCAGGAGCATTTGTTGCAAACATTTCGAAGGATGATAACCCAAGAACCGGTTGACGGATTGTTTTGATCTTTAGTATGTAGGTAGTTGAAGTGATGCTTGACATAATCAGATGGCAATTATGCAAATCAGGAGCTAATTTGCATAATTAATGAGGAAATTCTATAAATCTGTTTTGTTCGATAATAGTACTATGAAACACTTGTGACATCCACTTGAGAACGAGATAAAATATCTGAGAATATAGATTATGTAAATGAGGACCTAATTTGCATAATTAATGGACATTTTTTATAATTTCATAGTTGTAACTGTTGGGAATTTCATACTTGCCACATTTGGAAGTTAAGTGAAGCTGAACATCAATAAACATAATTTATTCAAATCATGACCTCATTTGCATAATCTATGAAGAAGTGCTGTAATAGTCTTTTTGTTAAAATAAGGCTGTCATTGGGTGGAGATTGAATATGATCAACTGATATAATCCATGCAAATGAGGCTCTTATTTATAAAATCGATGATTACATTGTATAATTCGTCAACCGCAAGGGTTAACATCACTTGGCGAAGGTATGAGATCGCGGAACTCTTGTTCTACTTTACATTTGCATTCATTCAACTTGAAAATGTTTTCTTTAGCAGAATTTTAATCGTTGTGTTTAGAAACATGGCTTGTAATTGTAGTGTCAAATCAGACTGCGGCTTTGTACTTTGTAGAACAGTAGAGAATGTAATACCGGTAGTACAAATTAGTGTAGTAGCAATGTAATAGTAGCAATGTCATAGTTGCAATTGCCAGTGGGGTCGTGTGGCGTAGCGGCAGAGTGCTCGACTCGGAACCTAGAGATCCCGGGTTCGAGTCCTGACATGCCACCGATCTTGTACCCTTGGGAAAGGCACTTTACACAACTTTCCTCACTTCGCTCAGGTGAAAATGAGTATTGTATTACCCCCTGTGTTGGTGGCGACATTAATATAAGTTTGAAAAACTTGAGTGTGTCGTCACCACGTCTTGTGATTACATGTTGGAAATTATAAAATAAAATCATGTGATATTTTTATATAGCTGCCAACTAAAGTTTCACACTACCAGGGAGAGCATGGCAAGCCAGTGTTTTTATTGTTCTGTATTCTGGGATAGGTTAAGCATTTTGTTTCTTCTTTATTTACAATTCTTGTATGCTAAAGATAATAATAAATGATTCTGTAACTAACCAAAAGTAATTATTATAGTATCTAATGTATTTAAGGGGAATCGCCCGAAAGTGCCCCAAAACAGCCCGGGGACTACCCGGCAGGGCCCCTTTTCCAATTGGGACCAAAGCTTTAGCCTGGTCCCTACTGAATCAGATGTAAACACCTCTCAGTGGCAGACTCACGGCTGATACTTTACCATTGCTGAATCCTAATGGGTGATTTTATAACACAACCTTGTCAAAAGTCTCATGCACGTAAACAGAAGTAACTAATGGCACCAAACAACAACAAGAGAATTTTGTAAATAAAACGGTACAGTATTGTATGTTTTAATTAGAACTTGGGGCTTGTTATATATTGGAAAGATGCAGACAATCAAATACCTCATTTCTAGAAGGATATGAATATAAATGTTACAAATTATCTATCAATCAAGATAAAACACGCAGATGTGGCCTGAAACGGGAAAGTGTAATGTATACTTTCCAAAGAAAAACGCCATTCAGTAAGTTCAAGTTCAAGGAACATTCAAGTAACCATATATCAAACTTATCAACAGTTAACCTCATACCAGTATATATACTATCACTATAGCTAAGGTGGTGATGGGGAGGTGGTGGGTCAAAATTCAAACGGAGCGGACCGAAAACATGAACCGTCTCCCCCAGAAAACAGAACAAACTGAGAAAGTTCGAAGGTCACGTGGGGGAGCGGTCACGTGGTTTGTGGGCCGAACGAAATCTTGTTGTTGTTTCTAATTACAAAAAATTTCCATGCGGACAATTTTTCCCAGATTCATATTTGATGTGATGTGCTCCCGCATCATTAACTTAACTAACTAACTACCTGACTTAAGCTAACTTTACTAACTAACTACCTAACATAACTTCGAAATTGTACAGAGGGTGACTTCACTAACAAACTAAATAAGTAACTAGTTAACTCAGCAATCCGAAATTGAACAGGAGTTAAAGATGCAAACCAACTGACGTACGTAGTCTAAGCGAAACCTCGCGATTTCAAGTTGCTCTTAGTGTCGACAGTTTCTTTGTACTCCGACGCTGTGTGCTGGCAGGTGCCATGGTCGGCGGTCGTGACGTCAGTGGGAGTTCTGGCCTTGGTGATGACGGTAACTCAACTGCAGCAAAGGGTATGATACATTGTTGTTGGTTGATAGTAGCAGTAAAATATACAATTTCTTACTGGTTTATTCTCAATCATGCAGATAGGTTAGACTAGTTACTTGCACAACCAACCAACCAACCAACCAACCAACCAACCAACCAACCAACCAACCAACCAACCAACCAGCCAGCCAGCCAGCCAGCCAGCCAGCCAGCCAACCAGCCAACCAACCAACCAGCCAGCCAGCCAGACAACCAATGATGATTGGTACACATTGTTTCAGATCTAGCATGAGCATGAAATATACTAATATACTCACTTATCTCCCTCACTCCCCACAACAAGGGCACCCGGATGTTGTCGATGACAGAGTAACTGCCGACATGGTACACCCGATTTGGATCCCCGGCCACTGCTAACAGTTGGTCCGCGTACGCGGCATCGCCCACGCCAATGGAAAATGGAATTATGGCTAAAACATGTCCAAGAAACAAGCACAGTTGTTATTATGAGTAATACAAGCAACTCCTAGCCTCTACCAGGCTTCGGGAGGCGGCTGGAAAGAGTAGAAATCGGCCAAATAGAGAGATACATGTAGCAAACTGTTCTCTCCAACAGACCAACTCCCTTGGCATCCTATCTCTCTATCTATTTGGCCGATTTCTACTCTTTCCAGCCGCCTTCCGAAGCCTGGTAGAGGCTTATCAACTCCAAAAAATAGAAACTGATAGATGATACCTAGAATTGATACCTTACATGTATCAAATTGAAAAAGCTGGTACAATACGGTGTATTGTAATGGCGACTATCAAAGTTGGTCCCTTCCTAGAAACTTTAAATTAGACAAAATATCTTTTTACAATGTTAGAATGTCTTACTAGATGCTTGTAAGGCAGATATTGCCGGGTCTATCGTAGTATCTGGCGGATGGTCAAACGCTGGCCCGTTCGTTATAAAAATCGCTATCCTGGGGATCCCCTCTGATAGAGGCCGCGCCCCTTTGGCTACCGTAAAACTTGTGTCGATCAGGTAGTTAATGGCCGGGGCTATGAGAGTCCCACCTGGTCTGAAAGAAGAGGGAAAAGTGAGGAATAACTCAACCAAAAGGGTGACTACATTACTTATATGGTTAGTTTGCATTTCAAGTGCATAATACTAAAAACTAGTCACTTATGTTGAAAACAAACAGGCGTAGAACACTGAGATTGAGCCGGATCACCAAATACCACCGCAAATACAATAGTTACTGTTTCTTACACTATCCAACATATATATCCGAGCTTGCGCTCTACCACTTGGTTTCCCTTACCTTTGGTCAATGCTGCTGATGGCCTGTTGCAAAGACGCCTTGTCAGAGTATGCGTTTAGCGGGAATTCTTCCACAAACAGGTGAGTAAACTGAATCACACCTGAATAAAAAAATACGTTTCAAATAGATAAATATGATATTCGTTGATCAGTTTTTTGTCAAGCACAATAGTTCTGTTCGAAAAGCACTACTTTGCATTTTAATTTTGTCTAGAAAGCTTAAATGTCAATTTTGATATTTCAACTTTTAATTGTTTTCATAGGACTATCCGGTTAGAACTAGTCAAATACCACTGGTCACGATGTGCGTACTTACCTACGCGTGTGAAGTCGGCAGCGATGTCGAAAGCGTCCACAACTTGGCTGATGAAAGTCAAGGCCTCGGAAAATTCCTGTGCGTTGACGCTAGAGGAGCCATCCAACACAAACATGATGTCAGCGGCACCTGAGGCTAAGCTAGGAGCATTAGCTAGGAACAGAAACACAGCACACTCAATTGTTGGTGTCTGATTCTGATTTTGAAAGGTACGTTACCGATTGTTGAGTGTATCTTCATACACTCAATACTTCAAATCACATACACGCCACATGCTAATGCTCCTGTACGTATGTGTTTATGTATAATACACCTTTCTTACTTTCGTTTGCCTTAGAAACGTTACCTAGACGGGCTAGCTCCATTTTATTCCGAGTTAAGCCAGGGGTTGTGCTACATGCATGTTGGGGTAGCTACATGCGTCACTCGCTAATTAGTAAGAAACACGACAGGCACTTATGCCGAACATATTTAAAAGTCCTCGGTGAGTACACGACATAAAGAGGACAAATACGCAGATGCTACATATTTGATTATCCAAATAACCAGTCCTCCGTCATGTACAGATAGTTTTAGACTAACCCCTGACCAAGGCAATTGAACTAGAACTAATTTGAAAACCCGTCGTCCTTGATGTTATTATCTACCATCGCTGTGTGCAAAATTTCTTTTGTTCTTGTGAGCGCGTAACAAACTCCATTTTGTTAGAAATTACATGTCAGAATCAAACCCGTCTTACTTGTGCATCTTGGAACAGGACTACTCCATGTTCCGTCAGCTTGGCACGTCGAAGCAGCAACGCCGTTCAGTGTGTATCCCGAGAAACAGGTGAAGGTGACCCCGTTCGGGTAGGAGACCGCTCCGGTAGGACTCACCGCTCCGCCTAATGGAGCCGCTCGAGCCGAACATTGGACCGCTGCAAGGGAAAGTACAAACAGAAACAATCTATATCACAAACACACAACTTTAACCCTAAACAGTACACCTGGGGTCCCAGCACTATATATTCTGTAATATCTTTTTTGTTTCTAAAAATTTTTTTCTGAAATTTCAGGTAATTGTCACCCACAAAGTTGTATCTCAATACAGTGCAGAAAACTCCGTTTCTACCATTTATAAAAAAAATTATATCTATTTTTCTTTTGGGGTCCGCGCGGACCCCAGCCGGCTTTCGATCATAATGGATACACTGGCGTTCTTATACATTACCTTATTTCCGTTTTTATATGTTTTTATGCACTCATCGTATGTCTACCAAGTTTTCACAGAATGGTGTAGTAATAGAATTAAATTTTGATAACTTTGGTGTAATTATGACGTCATATGACGTCAGAGCTAATAATATAGTCCGCCATATTGGATTTTGACCAATGACGTCATCAAATTAGCATATTCTATGCATATTAAATGATTTAACTTATATTTAATTATGTAAGATGTTATTAATGTTGGAAAAGAAGTGTAATTTAATATAAAACTCAGAAAATTTTTATGTTTAAACCAAATATTACTTCTATTTAAAAAAAACTGCCTGCTAGAAACCCGTTGCCATGGCAACACAAAAACTGCTCTGGGGTCCGCGCAGACCCCAGGTGTACAGATTAATCAGTCCGCGAAGGTGTACTGTTGAGGGTTAATGTATGTATGTCTTCCGTTTAGTAGGATGCCTATTTCTTGTTGACGAATCGATCTTTTTGGGGACAAACCTGCCTAGCAGCACGGCACAAAATCCCTAGTTTCCGTGTGAGAAATTGCCGCACACTTTCCCGGATATTTTAGGTTTCCGGTAGAACCCGGGGGTTTCCGACCTGCACACGAAACGTGTCCAGTCCCGTACATGCCCTGTACACTCCCGGAAATGAACCACTTTTTGTGTGCAGGTCGTGTACTGGACGTTATATGCCCGGACACGATCCCTGTACATCCCCGTACACGGCAGGAAATGGCAGTACACCGCTCCGTGCGTTGCTGGTATATGCATAATTTAGCGGCAATTATCACCTAATTATTCTCCACACGGCAGCGGAAATTCGCCGTGTACGGGTCGGACATGCCGGTAACTACACCCCCCCTCCCCGGCCAAAACCCGCCCCGCTCTCGGGACCGGTTGCTCCCGTTCCCGGGACCCGTTGGTCCCATTCCCGGGGCCCTGCTGTTCCCGTTCTCGGGACCCCACTGCACCCACTACGGGGACCCCCCTTCCTGCTCCCGGGGCTTCGCTGCCCGGCTCCCGAGAAATCGCTTCCCCCGCTCCCGGGACACATTTCGATGTTTTAGGAACACATTTCATTCATAAAAAAAAGTAATACATGTTTATACTTCATTCATCGTTTTATTGGTATAAACAGGATCGCCATTTACAGACTGACAAAAATAACGCTCTATGTATAGTGTATACACGTTATGCACTATGCTAACACTATACAATAATGTAGCCTGGTACTTTACAAAAATGTGTAGCCGAAACATAGAAACAATAGCTTTTTCCCGAACTAGCCTTCCAGGGACTAGACTTTTAAAATCGTTGGACCCGGTGTAAACTCAGAAATTACTAGTAATTAACAGATTTCTCTAACTTTAAAAAGTAAACTAACATCACATCTCATCACAGTCACCTCCAAATAGAAGTCCATTTTAGCAAAAAATGTCAAAAAGTAACTAATACTGACATATCATCAGGTTAAAAGAGGAAAATAGCCCTCAGATCATGAAAGTGAATGGCGCTTACACAAACAGTCAAAAGACTAAATTTTCAATAAACAAAGAAGGCCTCAAACAAAGTTCTTCAAAATACATGTACGTGTAGCAAAAACATAATGGCAGACCTAACATGAAGTTAAATGAGGCTTGGCAGAAAACAATATCACGTCATTACAAAAAAAGATCATTTGCTCAGAAATTAATTACATGAACACGTATTCAATTTACAATGTCGTTAAAGACAAGCTGTCGGTTTCGTAAAGTTTGCGTTGTCGCCTCTACAAAATGAGGCTTAGTTGTAGATTGAAGGCCAGGAGGTATGCCCCCCCCCCTTCTTCAGGGGACCATAGCGAAATGTTTTCATCCTGGAAGGACAAACTGCCCCATGTCTGTCTGCGGGATGGCGTGGTGTTGGTGTCGGTTGTGATCGCAGTCAGGCCGGAGCGGCGTGCTGGGCGCGGGGTGCACCCCGGGCGGGAGTGCAGCGGGGCCGGCCTGGGTCGTCGGAGCCTGCCGGGCGCTTTAACACAGCACCCTCGCCTTTAGATCTGAGCCTGGGTGTGCAGTCTGCCTGTTTGCCTCCAGCCTGGCCTGCAGGACATGGAAAAACGAAAATCTAAGTCAAAAGTCGAAGGCATTTTTGAATTTCATTTGAAGTTACGTGTACATGTACTAGACGTTTTATAAACAAGCCTGGCAAAGATGCGGACGTCTGTATGGACACATTTCGAGGAGAAGTCATTTATCATTTTTAACGAATGTTTTTAACGTCAGACAGCAACAATTTTGTCCAGGTGAAAAGGCTCCATTCATCAAGCATCAACGTCTACTTGTTTCTTTTCATTGTAATCATGGGAACAATACAAACACAACATTTCCCTCGGTAATGAAAACAATTCAAATTGTCAAGAGCCTTGTCGGCCTTCGTATGCAAAGATATACATTTGCATAGACTCACCCTCTTCTGTGTGACTGCAGTCGCTTTTCTTTCTTTCTTTTCTGAGCTCTCCGACAGCCTGGCGATAAAGTTTCTTCAAATCGTCTCAAAGTATCCCAAATCCGCGCCTGAAAAAAGTACATATGTTCTGAGCAACATACAAACTATATCGATGTACTTCTAAGTAGAAATAATAAACTATGTTATTAATCAGTAAAAAAATAGTGTACACTTCTTGCCAAAATAAATATTTCTGCCGTAGGCACAACTTAGCCAAGTTTTTTAAACAACATGTTTAAGATATATGTAACGATAGTGCCGTATATATAATAGTATCCTTGTTTTAGCTTACCCTTCCTCCTGTCGGTTTGCTGGTTCGTTGCGGTGTTGTCCTTTCAATGTAGTAGAGTCATTTCTTCCGTTGCGAAAACGAAGTAACAGAACGGAATGTTTGACGCCATTTTAGTTCAGGAACATACTAGTAATCTTTGCAAGCCGAGACAAACGTGTTTTGAAAAAGCAAACCGTCGTTGTGACAAAGCAAGATTCAAACGACCCACCAAAACAAAGCATCGCGTCTCTTATTGGCTGGTCCCGGCGAGAGCGAGGTAGGATTGGTCGTCAGTCATATAATCACGTGATCGCGTTCAATACTACAACCATCTTGTTTTTATATGATAGGTTTTAAGTTAAATCACCTGTGCAGTCTGAACACTTGGATGATAGGATGTTTCTGATTGTGTGAATGTATTTATTTCAAGGCAGACAAATGATCTTCATAATTCTAATTCGTCATGATTACATGGCTTTATTCGTTCTAGAATTACACAACTTGTCGCTCACTAAGTGAAATAAAACCGCACTTCAACTCCAACATAACCTTACTCTTTGTAAATGTATCCAAAATCCACAATTAATGTCATGAGGGTTGACTTGTTTTGCTGGATTTCAGTATTTTACCAGGCGTGGGGACGCTGTGAGTTCTCCCTTTGTTTACACAAAGGCTATTCACATAAACGGACGCCATGTCAGACACATCGCAATACACATCGACCGAACTACAATGTAAAGCTTGCATATTATTACCCATACATGTACCTAAAAATCATAGCAAACTGATCAGGTCATGTTAGTTCAAACCCCTTTAGTCAAGCGTTTGATTACATCATGGTAATGAACCTCACGGATAAACTATTATTTCCAAAATAAAAAAAATTCAGATTTAGACCGGAGTGTAGATTTAGGTCATTTTGACCGAGTAGGTCATATAACCCCAGCGTCGGGGCGCCCTACGCTCAAATGTGCTTTGTCGTATGGACGACATCACGACAAATCAAGCCAAGGACGCATAGGTTCAAATGTTGTATTAACAATCCTTGATCATTCTATATCTAATTTGCTTAGATTAAAGTGCTGGCAACTTTGGTTCAAGTAATTATCACCTGAAACATGAATACACGCAGTACCTAATTACCCCTTATTGTTAGCCGCTCCCCAACACACGCCAAGTGTGCGGGGCGTAAATTTCCTTGCACGTGCACGGCGAGCACGAATCCGGGAGTGTAAGGAAATATCCGGGGCCGTACACGCGGAGCCCGGAAATCCATGGACGCGACCAGGACACGGCGAATTTCACGAGCGTGTGCGGGACTGGAAACTCTTGGAAACGTGGTTTTTCATACAGTGCAGGCTTTCTAGGTTCAACATATATATAAATCGACGTCATCA